AACTTATGAAAGAGAAGTTACTTTAAAAGTAAATAACAAAGGTTTCACTGAAACTCTTATGTTCCTTTCGTTAACTATTTAGTTAATATACAAACGTTGGATAGAATCAAGCTGGTCAAGAAATGGAGATTAGAAAATTGATAATATTATGAACAAACAATAAATTATATCCTTATTGTAAGTCATAAAAAATTCTTCTTTTTATGATTTGAAATATGGTTTACAAAAAAAATAAATTGATTAGTTTTATGCGTTGATGACGCCAACAACGTATTGTTTCAAGACATTACCAAAAGTCATTTTGACAAAGGTTTCTAATGAATTTGTATATTAAAAATATTTAGTTAAATAGTTAGTTGTTTTAACTAGACCAAAGCCAAAGTTATTCTTTTTGTTTAATACCAAGAATAAGGTATAAAATGAATTTTTATTGGTTGGGAGTTAAGAAGATAAAACAGAAAAAAAAGTTCAATTAATAAAAAGTGACTCAGTTTCATAGACTATTTACTATGTAAGTTGCGCCATTGAAAGTATCATATTGTCTAATGATAAAATCACGGGGGTAATTATTTTAAAGAATAAGTAGTAATAGTTGTTAATTAATTAAAGGTTGTTTGTCAATTATTTGAGTTTGTTGTTTGGAGGATTTGTCAAGAAAAGACAGATTGATAGTTGACCACCACCATCTGGTCCATTTGATTGGTTTTATTGAGTGCAATCAACAAAGAATAATGTTAATAATTTTTTAAGTGCTATTATTGTTTTTTTTTATATTATTGATTCTTTCGTTTTTGTTGTATTTGAAGAGATAAAAAAACCCACTGATGGAATGGTGTTGTGGTAATGGTAGTTAAAAGATATAAGCAAATAAAATACCACTCATTACAATAAACTGTCTCAACAACAGAAACAAATAACTCGTCATCTATCTTTCAATAATTTGGTTAATAATGAAGCATAAGAAGCTTCTGTATCTTGTGAGAGAAGAAAAAGGAAATTAAACTTCCGAAGGAGTGGTTCGTTATTCACAGATACAAAACAAAAATGAAAACTCAAAAAGCTAAAATTTAGGAAAAAGTGACGTTAGTTCAGATAAAAGAATATTGATTTAGAAAATAGGAATAATTGGGAGAATATTTGGAATGGTTTTTTAACGGAGATTTAAAAAATAAAAGAGACGTAAAACAATGAAACATATTAGAGAAAATAATGAAATAATCAGGTGGTTTTGTAGGATTATTATGAAGTTAACCAAAAAATATAACTTGGATTGAAAATGGAACTATAATAAACTTATTCCATATTGGTTCTTCAGAAATGTATTCACTAGAAAATATTGATGGAAATTCATCAGTTAAAGGACCTGTTCCTTGCCACTGTCTTCTATGTCAAAAAAGTGAAATATCAGAAGGGCAAGATTTAAAAATGAAAACCACTAAATTATGTGTGATGATTTTAAAATCACTTAAATTATTAAAACCAGAGAATGAATTCTTTTCATTAAAAAATGATATTAAAGAATTTATTACAAACCATTGGCCTATTCTATCTAAATTAAAACAATTTAAAACACCTAATTGGAGAAAGGCATTATTAGATGCATTTAATCATTGTAATTTAATTGAATCTGGTAAGGATGTATGTCATAATAGAGGATATTATAAACTAAAAGACCATTCTAAACAACAATCAGATAGTTTAACTTCTAAAGATATTAATCTATATGTAAAGAAAGAAGAAAGAAAAAAAGAGCCTTTAAAACAAGCTAAAAGTCATATTCAAGCTATTGACTATAAGTATGAAATCCTTGCATCTATAAGAACTCTTCAAAACCAAATTAACCATACAAATAGTCTTCTTGTAAATTGTATTACTCCATATATAGGAAATCCTTATAGTGGAGTTTCAGTTATTTATGGAATTGAAACAAACAACTACCATATTAACACATTAAATCAGTTACGAGATCAAATGTTTTATTCATAGTGGTTTTAATTTTATTGTAAGTATGCCTTTTATAATTTGTTTTTTTTTTTTGTTATTCTATTTTTTAAAATGTTTTTTCGCTTATTTCTCATTATTTTTAGATTATCGAATTGAATTTTCTTTCATTCTTCTATTTTCAATAACAAACACCGTTGATTATTCGATTTTCATAATGCTTGATTATGTCATATGAAATTTGTTCTATAAAAAGAATATAAATTCTAAAAAAACATGAAACCAAATCTCATAAATTAGGGATAGTGTTATTTTTTTTTTAAATTCACCCATTTTGTTGTTAAACTTTTATTCCAAATTAATTTCGTCTTATTTTTATAGGTTAATAATGAGTAACCTTTTTTTTACTTAAATTGCAAATAGTTTAGTACTACCAGATGTTCAACATAAAGAATTACTTTCCTCAATTTTTTTAAAAAAGACAATTAAAAAAATATTAACGATTTATGTGTTATAATAGGAATTTTTTTTTAATATCTGAAATCGGTTTGTAGTTTAAGAAAAATGTCAAAACATTTTTGTCTATAATTTTTTCTGACCATATTTAACTATTTTATAAAATACATGAAGCTATGAAATTATTTCAAAATTATGAACTTTATATTCATTATCCCATTAAAATTTAATGAACCTATTGATTATTTTATTATTATTCATTAAAAATGGGGTAACATTCAATTGTAGTGGTTCAGGATGTATTAATTGTATTGGAGATGAGTTATGTGAGAAATGTAAGGATGGATATGAACAAACAACGAGTTGTTTTAATTGTATGATTGTTAATCCTTTTCAAGCTTTTTCAGAATCAAACCCTCTTTATATGATGTTTAATTCTGAATGTCTTCAGGTAAATACAGAAAATGTTAAGAGATATTGGGATCCAAGAGGGGCAGAAGAATTAATTAAAAACAAAGAGATTCAATTTAAAATTACAAATACTATGATTCCTGCATTTGGAATTTGTGAGAATAAAGACACAAATAATAGATATAAATATGGTAAATACTTTCATTATACTATTCCTAAAAGTACTTCAACACAAAATTATCTTAACGTTCTTGTTAAAAGTGATACTCCATCAGTAAATTTTAGAATTGAAATTACCACTGATGAATTTGATCCAAATAAGTTAACTGACTCACCTAAATGTTTTGCTCTTTATGTTCTTGGAACATCAAAAACAGCTGGGTTTATTTCATTAAGAGTTCCACAAGAAGGAGGACATTATTATCTTTTTGTTGGAATGAAGAGAGGAGTTGATTGCACTTTAACTGTTTCAGTTGTAGATAATGAAATAATTAGTCCATATTATCAAGTAAAAGAAATTGATATTGATAGTTATGATGGAGAAATTTTGTCTCATACAGTTGACTTTTCATCTATAGGAACTTATGATTATTCTGTTTGTTCAAGTATTCCAATGGCATTAAAAATGATTAGACTCCATTTAAAAGGAAAAGTCAAACAAGGAATGAGATTATCAATAGAAAGTACAAATGGAGACGGTCAAATTTTTGAACATTCTCGTTGTGAATCAAAATTTGGTCCATGTAATTGTATTGAAGGATTCAGAACAAGAAGAGATATATGGTCGTTAAATGGACAACATGGAAATATATTTTCTGTTGATGAACATGAAGAACTTGGATGGTTTTCATTATTTACAACAGATGTTTTTATGAAAACTACCTTAGTTATGAAATATATTTGTCCAAATAATTGTAATCAAAATATTGGAGGGGGTCAATGTAGTACAATTCTTTCTCAATGCATTTGTACTGACGAGAGGTATGGAGGAGATGATTGTCATTTATTATGTTATTCAAAAGAACAATGGACTATATCTGATACTAATGGAAAGTGTAAATATGGAGTTGAAAATTGTGACACTTATTGTCAATGTCAAAATGATACAATTGCAGATCAATTCTATTGTGTAACTCAAGAATGTTGGAATTATAAAAGAAATGAAAGTTATAATGAAAATATAACATTTTGTGAGAGAGGATCTTCTCATTGCCTTCCTACCTGTGAATGTGAAAAAGGATATTCATTAATTGAAGGGTATTGTGTGAGTGATTTATGTGGAAATGGTGTTTATGATAATGGAGAAGAATGTGATGAAAAGGGGTATTGTACAAAATTTTGTACATGTGAAGAAGGTTATGAACAGGACATTAATGATTTAACTCATTGTGTTCATAAAGCAATTTCAATGACTGAATTAATATCAATTATAGTTGGAAGTATAATTTTATTATTTGCTATTGTAATTATTTTATGTAGTACTTTAATACTTATCTTTGCTAGAAATAATTATACAAGATTATCTGATATTCCATTTAAAGAAAAACAACTATATTATTATATTGATAAAACATTATTAAAAGAACAAAAAGATGGTAATAACTCTTCTTTTCATTTTGACCATATAACAATTACATTTGGATTAAAAAATAAAAATATTAAGTTAGAAGACACAAGATATGAAACATTTATTTTAAATAATACTTCAAATGAATTTATGTTATTTATTGTTCATATTCCAGATACTAACAAATTTACCTTTTATTCATATCCTCAAACTAAAATTATTCTTCCAAAAGCTAAACAAAAAATTATTTTATTTTTTACTGCTCATTGTACTACAACTATTGAAGGTTACAATCTTATTGTTAGTTGTTATCATTTTAATAATAAAGAAATTCTTTCTCAATTTGAAGAAATTATTAAAAATAAACATAGTTTAGATGAAAAAGAATTTAAATTATATTATGAAATGGTATATCAAATGAAATCTAGTTATTGTAATCTTATTATAAAAGGTGAAATCGAAACATCACTTCTAATTGACCAAGATGAATTATTAATAAATAAAGGAATAATTGAAGGATCAAAGAGAAGACACCTTGGATTATATCATAATATTCTTGTTTGTATTAAACAAATAAATTTAGACTCTTATCAACTTGAACAAAGACAAAAATTAAAAGCATTATTTCAACGTTCTACATCATTATTGAAGAATATTAGATCTCCTTATGTTGTATCAACAATTGGATATATTATGAATGAAGAGTCAATATCTATTATTAATGCACTTTATCCTCTTAGAAGTTTAGATTTATGTATGTATTATGAAAAAAGTAATATTGTATTACCTTATAAATTAAAATTAAAAATAATGAGAGATGTTGAATGTGGTTTACATTATCTTCATGAATCAAAACTACTTCATAATAACCTTAAACCATCAAACATTATTCTTAATTCTCTTTTTGATACAACAAATACAGTTGCCTTAATTACTGATTATCGTGTAACGAAAGAACTAAGTGAAGAAATGGAAAATTTTGGTTATTTTATTGGAAATCCAAAATATGATGCTCCAGAATTATATAATAATGTCTTTGTTCCTGAAAGTGATGTATTTTCTTTCTCTATTGTATTTTGGGAATTGTTTTATGGAATTCATGCATTTAGTGATTTAAAAACAACATATGAAATTAAATCTTCTATAATAGCTGGAAAACGTCCAGAATTGAAATTACCTATGCCACAAGAACTACAAAATTTACTCGAACAATGCTGGAATAATGACTATCATGAAAGACCATTATTTAACATTATTAACCCACAACTAACTAAATTAATTGACTCCAGTGAACAACATCAAGACTTAGACATTAATGTAACTACTCAAAAAATAAAAGATGTATTCGAAGAAAATATACATATATTTGAAAAACACGGAAAGAAAAAAACAATGATTTCTTTCAGTGAATATCAAAGAATTGAAGAAAAGTAATAATTTATTGTTTTATATCATCACTTTATCATTATCATTCTTATTTATAATATTTTATTCCTTTTTTTTTATTATCATTCACTCTTTTATATTTTATCACTTTCTTACCTTTTTAAATAACATCAAAAAGTTAATCTCTTATAATTCTATGTTGATATTATTCTTTATATTTATATGGTTTGATTTTACTCTTGCTTGCTCATCCAGATTTCCTATTGTTCTTGTCCCTGCTTTCATGTCTTCTTCTCTTCATATTAAATCTAATATCCCATCATCAGTTCAATTACCTTCTCATTGTCCTCATCAATTAGAAGGACAAATTTGGCTGAATTTAAAAGATGGAATTCCATTAAACAATACTCAATGTTTCTTTAAATATTTTACTCCATTTTGGAATAATTCAAATAAACAATTTGAATCACTTGATGGCGTTAAAATATATTACAAAGACTTTCCATCTATTGAAGGTATTTCTTCATTAGGACCAAAAGAAGAGCCAATTGTCCAAAGAGTATTACGAGTTTGGTATAAAATGATTCAGCATCTTAAAAGAATTGGTTATAAAGACAAAAAATCATTATTTGGACTTGGATACGATTGGAGATATGCTGACGTTAATTATAACAATTGGTCAAAAAAAGTGAAAGAAGTCATTGAATCAGCTTATATTCTTAACAACAAAAAAGTTATGATTGTTACACATAGTTTGGGTGGTCCAATGGCTTTGCAACTACTTTTCCAATTAGGTGATTCTTTTTGTGAGAAATATATTGAAAAGATTATTACTATCTCAGCTCCATTCATTGGAACAATAAAAGCATTAAGGTCTTTTTTATCAGGAGAAACAGAAGGTATTCCAGTTAATCCATTATCATTTAGAAATTTTGAAAGAAATATAGATAGTGTTTATCAATTAATGCCAAATTATCAATGGTGGAATGACACTATTCTTATCTTTAATGGAACATCATACTCAGCTTCTCAAATGAACCAAATACTAAATCTTATAAATGAAACAAAGGACTATGCATCTTTTGTTTATACAAATGCTATGAACAGATATCCAATAAACTGGACTCCTAAAGTTAAATTATATTGTCTCTATTCTTCTGGAATTGAAACAGAAGTCTTACTGAACTATTCTACTTCTTTTGACAATCAACCTATTCAAACTTTT